ATTTCAGTTTTCAGGATTTTTAGGATTTTTCAGGGCTAGTCGAAACAGTCAAAATGATCTCCAATGCACATCTCAGAGTTGTGAAGGGGTTAACCAGGGCTGAAAAGTGGGGGTCCCTGTTAACCGCTTATCTCTGAATCCAAATGTCGTCAAATCCCAAAGTCACAAATCTCTCTCTCTCTCTCTCTCTCTCTCTCTCTCTCTCTCTCTTGTAGTCTGTCGATACTGAGAAGTCGCGTAGCTGGAGGGTGAGGAAGAAGAAGAAGAAGAAGAAGAGCTAACCTGTGAAAGGTGGCGCCTTGCTGCAGGTACACCGAAGACGAAGCTGGAAAGCTCCCAGGTAAGTCCCCTGACCTCCGCTACTCTCCTCCCTCTTAGCGCTATCCTACGATCATAGCAGCGCCAAGCGCTGGAAGGCTACTACTATCGTCACCTACTACCGCTGCAGCATCTCCCGAGAGTGCCGATGCTGAATGACTGAAGACTGAATGCCGGCCTCCTAGGCAGACCAGCTATATATAGTGCTGGTCCGGCTGGGAGGCTGCCTTCACCAATGCCGAACGGCGCCAGAGCGTCGCACCCGAACGGCCTGGCGCCTAAAGTTGGCGCCCAAATTAAAAAAGGACGAATTTGAAAAAGGCCTACCTCGGCCTGGGCGCCTACTGGGCCTCTACCGGAGTCTGGTGCCAAAACGGGCGCCCGGGCCTACCGACCTACCGGCCTACCGGACTCCCTAGCCCAAACGACATGGGGCCTGAAAAGGGCCACCCTTCCTACTCTGAACCGACACAGGGCCCGAACGGCCCCTACCGAACCCCTTATCCTACCTGGACGGGCCCTGCAGGGCCCCGTGTGGTACTCAGTATGCCACAGCACTCCAGGACACAAACAAAGAAAATAGCAGACAGCATGAAACACACTGAAATGCAAGTGTTCTGGGCTGCGGCCCCTAGCAAGCCTAAGTGAAGGTGGGCCTGAATATCCACATGACGCCTGTTTTCTACATTTTTCCATATGTGGGTACTCAGACAGTTGCAGCACGCCAGTTCATTACAGAGTAACGTGAGCCTCCCGGCTATTCCAGAAGCAAAAGGGCTGCGCTGTACGGTTGAGTCAAGAGCTCAGGTGGTTGCGCCCTGGGCACACACTGTGTGAGGCCGACACATCACGGACTGGCTACGGGCCAATGAGGAAGCAGCATTGTCGTCGCACGTGCCGTGAGCCAATGAGAATAGTGCAAACACTTGGGGGCTAGATGGCTGCCTGAACGTGCCTAACTGCACAAGGCCCAGGCCAGTATCTGAAACTGGGCCTCGGCTCAGACACTTGGGGCCAGAGGCAAGCTACTAGGCCCTCCACACGCCTGGACAGGCCAGCCAGCAGCGGAAAGTGTGTACCCCATGCAAGGGCATTCTGGCCTTGGCAGGCAATGCGGACACACTGCTGCATTGCTGTGCTTGTGTCAGAATGGGTGCTACTGGTTGGACATGCACACGGGCGCTGAGGTGAGGGGCGCTGCTGAGGCAGCGGGCGCACAGCAGCCATAGCCGGGCTGCAGTGGCGCAGGCAGGTGATGGCGATGGTGGTCTTCGGGTAGGAGGCACATGCAGAGAGTGGGGGTGAAGGTGTGATGAGGGGAGGAAGAGAGAACGTACCTGGTGTATGCTGGTGGTCGGCATTGGTGTTGACATCACGTACATTGGTCTTTGACGTGTAAATAGGCTGAGTATAGTAGGCTGGGCACCGGGCGCCAGACAGTAGGGGCGACATTGGATACAGTGTTGGTGTGACCAGAGAGCATCGGCATTGACACTCAAGTTCATTGTATTGCTGTTATTTGGATGGAATCTTGGTGCATTGTGCTCTTTGCTTGGTACATGACTATCTGGACTACTTTGTGATTTTGCAACTTGGTTTTTTGTCTATCGCTCCCGCTCATATTCCTCGCAGAACACGTTCTTTTTTTCCTTGTTTTCTTCTTCTTTTTTCATGGGCTGCTGCAGAGCAAGGCAAAGGGAGCGCTGAGGGATCCATCGCCCAAAAAATAATAATAATATCGCATAGCCCGATGGACCATGGATAATTTTTTTAGAAAAAGCCGAGAAAGGTACGAATTCTTTTGCCTTTTCATGTGCAGTTTGTTCTTTTCTTCCCTCTTCCGAGAAAAGGTATGAAAACATTATTTTGCCTTTTCCTTTGCAGTTCATTCTTTTCTTCCTTTATTATAGCTTTTTCCGCGGCCTCTTTCATTTCTTTAGGTCCCCCTTTACTGTACCTCTCACGTACAAGGCTCGCCACATTGGCGTAGTTGACCGCAAGCTGCCTCTATCCTGCATGCCATAACAGCCAATTTGCACGCTGTGAAAAAGAGGCACAGGGGGGATAAAGAGAGGAAATATCAAAAGAAGACGAAGCATTGCATGACAAAGGGAGTGTGGAATAAAGGTGAGCGCATAGGGAAGAATACGAGAAGACTTGAAGGAAGCGCACGATACTGATGAAAGCATAGGGAAGGGGAGGGTGTCAGTCTGTCCTTGACAACAGAGTGGACATGAACGGCAGGGATTAGGGATGTGATGGCACAGCAGACCTGGCTGAGCATTCTCAGCACAAAAGTTGTGACGACAGCTGGCGTAAAGCATGCCCACCTAACACTTCCGAGGAATGGCATGTCCTTGGCAGGCCCACGGGAAAGGAGGAGGAGCATCACGGACGAGACCATGCATTCACTCCAACGTCTCTGGTCACATATGATGCCTGAATGTGGAGGGTGCCTGCAGTCAGGACGGGAGGGGCATCACACTCCATGCACAGATGCAGAAACCCTGGCAATGTAATATTCATGGCTTTCCTAGGTATGCTTTCTGGCTGTGGCAGACGTTTCTACATCTCAGGGTTATGGTGCCGATCTGGAACGGTGATCAAGGTGGACTATCACTTACAGTATCATCTGTGACGGGATGTTGCAGATTGTCGAGGGTTCAGCCTACTGGTGAGTCTATGAAGTCCAACGGAAGATATCACAGCCCCTCATCTCTACGGTTTACGAGGCAGTTCTCTGCCAGGTGAAGAGGGTAAGCACCCTAGTCAAAGCTCTGCAGTCTGGTCAGCACCTGACTTACCCCCCAGTTTGTCCATATGTTAGGTGTCCACCGGAGCCACCTGGAACAGGTGTTAAGGTGGACTACCGCTAACCATATCATCTGAAGGGACTCAACAGACAGTCGAGGGCTCAACCTACTGATGAGTCAATGAAACTCTCACGGAAGAGTCCTTTTCTCCCTTTCTGCCTACGGTTCAAGGCGGCGGAAGTAAACACCCCAATCAGTCAGAAGCTCAGCAGTCCTACTGGTGCATCATTGAAAGTCTCGCGGAAGTGTCCTTCCTTCCTTTCTGCCTGCGGTTCAAGGTGGAGGAAGTGAACACTCCAGTCAGAAGCTCAGCGGCGGTCTAGTCATCTAGCTTACCCTTTGCCAGATCAAAGACCATCCATGCGGAAAGAACTGATTTATCGACACATATATTTTCCACTCACACCCGAGTCTCAGATGAAAGGGAGAAGAGAGTTATGAAACGGCTTCACCCAGTTAACCCAACATTTGTAGACACAGAGATTCGATCCCTAGACCTGTGCCCAAACCCTGTACATTGACCCTGTGTGCTGAGTGAGATTCGATCCCTAGACCTACCCTGTACCCTGTACATAGGACCAGTGATCTGCGTGAGACTCGATCCCCAGGTCTGTAGATTAGGAGTTAGGTCTGTTACCGTTAGGCTTAGGAAGGTCTGTTCTAGAAGTCTCTATCTGAGTCTACTGAGGCCTAGAGTCTGTCTGTAAGTCTGTAGGCTCTAGAAGGTCGTAGGTCCCTGTAGGCCAGTCCAGTCAGCAAGTACCAGGGGTAGGGGCTGCACGTGGGGAAGGTTCTGGACCACGCTGTGGGTTCCACACGTTTTGGCCCACAGGGCCAAACGTCTTGAAGCTTCCCTGGGCCACACGTTTTGACCCAGGCCCACACGTTTTGAGGCAGGCCCGGGTACCTCCGAAGAGGTAGAAATAAAAAGGCAGCGTCCAGCCATTCATTCATTCGCCTGTGTGCCATGCGGACGAGCTGCCTTGGTATCTTGTGCGTGGAGGACTGCCGGTGCCTGGAGAAGAAGTGGGCTGTGAAGAAGACAGCGGCCATAACGAACCAGCGAGGGAGACACCGGCGGCCATAGCTCAGAGGAGGAAGACAACGGCGGCCATAGCCGCCCAGCTGTTGGTGTCGAAGGAGTGTACAGAGTGCGTGTGGCTGTGTAATGTGGACATTCAGGGTGATCCTCATACGTGCGTGCATGCGAGAGTGAGGGAGAGTGAGGCTGGTGGTAGAGACAATGTTCGGCGGCCATAGCCGCAAGTTGTACAGTTGATTCAGACTGAGTTTAATACAAGTTCATTGTTGTTTCTGAATTGGAAGAGTTCGGTTTTGCCATCGGTTCTCAAGTGTGCATGTTGTGAGCAATTCTGAAGTTGAGTCTGATTGCAGTTACCACCAGGACTCATACGCCAGGATTCTCTATCCAATACAAGATGGATGATTATTGTTTTGAAGTTTGAGCTTGTCTTCTTGATGGACGATGCTTCACTCAATCTTCAACTCCACTCATACGCCAGGATTCTCTATCCAATACATCATGCTCACACCAGAAGACTACTGTTTTGTTTGACATCATCATGTGTGAGTATTGTCTCTGCACTTCTGTGTTCCCCATGTTCGTAATGTCAGGCTGTTCTCCTCGAGGGCAGGTGAGTTGGCACACAGTTGACTGGTTGCATCCACCCACCCTAACTGAAGCACAGGGAAATATCATGCACAGCAGCTCCACACTCACATTTAAAATGTCAATGGCACAAATTGTCGAATTCAACAAAACCAATTAACCTGATTCTGCATTCTGCACTCACATATCACTTGAAAGAACATCCAAGAAGTAAATAAAATGGTGCATTCAAAAAGTACCTGCAGCAATTTGCCATCTGCCACCATGGACCGGAATCCCAAGCGTTCCTGAACACGCATGAACAACGATCAGCCCATTTGTGAGCAGTACATTCAGCTGCATCCCAACAAAACAGAGTCAAAACAACTCAGACCGAAAGTATACAACGAAAGCAGATCATAAATGGCTTGGCAGCTAACAAAGACCACATACCTCGTAGGCAAGAACGATATAGTCAATACAGGAAACACTTGACCAGAAAAACACATGATACAACAAGAACAGTTTTCTACAGCTCAAGAGCAAATAGGTTTATACTCCAATGACCCAATACGACAAGACAACCGTTTTAGAACTCGAGAACTAAATGCAAAGGGTCCCACTTTTACCCAAAAAGATCCTGCTTGCTTGTCTTTATAGCTTCAAAATTCATGCATACATCACACTCAAGATCCACAGTGCACGCGGTAACAGCACACTTGGAACTTATTTTTACAACTGGAAATGATCTACACAGGTTCCCAAGCTTGCGGCCATGGCCACCAACAACAGCAACAACAAGCAGAAAAGTCTCTCTCTCTCTCTCTCTCTCTCTCTCTCTCTATATATATATATATATATATATATATATATATATATATATATATATATATATCGTCAAATAGAACTGCCCGGTAAACCGTAGGCATATACATATCATCACAAACAGAACTGCCCGGTAAACCGTAGGCAGAGAGAGAGAAGAGGACAACAAACGAGGGGCTATATATATATATCATCACAAACAGAACTGCCCGGTAATATATATATATATATATATATCGTCAAATAGAACTGCCCGGTAAACCGTAGGCAGAGAGGGAGAAGAGGACAACAAACGAGGGGCTGTGACAAACTGTTTCGTCGGAGTTTCACCGACTCATCAGGAGGCTGAACCCTCAACAGTCTGTAGAATCCCCTCACTGATTACACTGTAAGTGATAATCCACCTTAACCAAAATCAAAGTAGACTATCACTCACCCACACCAGATGGAAAACTCTACATATATATATATATATATCCACACACACACACACACACACACACACACACACACACACACACACACACACACACACACACACTCTGCTATCTAAAACTACACTCAGGTCCTGCGACCACTCTCTGAATGAGCTCGCCACTCTCTTCCTCACTGCAGTGATGCACTATGGCTATGGCTGGCCTCCTTGTTGTGCATGTGCCTGTGCCTCCGGACCCTTCCATCCAGTCCCTGCCGCGGCAGACAGATTCCGTCATTTGTGGGCCTTCCCCGGGCCCAAGCCTCAACTGCTCAACTGGACCAGGACTTGACAGGTAGCCACTCCCTAGCTACTGTCCCCACTCTCTTCCTCGCGACAGTGCTATACTACGGCTATGGCTGACCTCCTTTTTCTGCATGTGCATGTGCCTCCCACGTGATTCCGGACCCTTCCTGTGCCAGTCACTGCTGCAGCAGACACAGACTTGGCCTGTTGTGGGCCTTCCTTGGGTCCGAGCCGCAACTGGACCAGGACTCGACAGGTGGCAGCTCCCTAGCTACTGACCCTTGGTGAATCTCTATTTTGTCCAGTACAGTGCCTACCAGAGACTTCTAATTAGGCCCTAAAGTCATGTAGAAAATTACTGAAAACATCAGACATGCACAGCTCAAGATGATAGAGCATGCTGATGGGCACCACATACCTTTGAAATTCACAGCTGGTGAAGCGTCAGATGGCAATACAAGACCTGGAAGCTGGAGGAGGATAGGTAGTTCCCCACAGAGCAACTTTGTCACATTCCGTCTCACATAGTCTCACACCATGAGCTGGCACGTAGGGGGATTTGTGAGTTTGACAGGCAGCTGCTCCTGATGCTGGCATTTTCGTCTCAACCTGATGAACCACTTGTTAAGCAAAATCAGGAGAAGTATCTCAGCTCATGCTGAAGAGGATAGCTCATGGCAAACCGCCACTGCGAACTTTCTGTAGCCAGGATAGTGAATGGCAAACCACCACTGGAAACTTCCTGCAGCCTTATAGGCATCACTGCTTTCACAAGACAGCTTCAGCTAACAGTACAACTTGGAGGACCTTGAATTTATGCCGGAGGGAGTGAAAGGATCCACAGGCTGCTGCAGTACAGCCCCGGTACCATGTCCCATTTTCTTTTTACCAAATCTGTTATTACTTCTGAGGGCAAAGGAACAAATGCTGCATACTTGTGAGACAGTCCACTATGACCATGACTTGCGTATTCCCATTTCTACTTTCGACCTTGGCACCGAGGAAGTCTAGAGATACAGACTCTCGAAGTCCTGATGGGATAGGTAAAGATCGTAGCAGGCCTTGTGGAGCCTGATCCATAATCTTGTACATACGGAAAGATCTTAGCAGGCCTTGTGGAGCAGGCCTTGTGAATTCATAGTCTACCTTCACCACTGCTTGTAAGAAATAGCAACCCATCATCCGTGAGGTTTTTCCTTTACCTTTGCTATCACCACTCTATACATGGGATCTGATTCATAGGAACCTTCAATCTTCTGTTGCAACCCTTCCCAGGATCTAAGTAGTGATTATCCCAAAGAAATCTGCTCTCCTGGACAACTCATCAGCGCCAACATTATACTTCCCTTTAACTGTTGGGGATTGCGGATTTGAACCCGGAACCCACCCAATTATCTGTTCTATTTCAAGTGCAATAACTCAGCTCAAATCATGCAATAGTCGTGGGATATGGGTCATCATTTTGGTCTAGGGGCCGGAATTGGGGTCAACGGCCATGCCCAAGTCATGAAATTGCCTGAACCAAGGCCTGCTACTGTGGAGTACCCGAAGCAAGGCCTAAACTGGCCTTCAGAGGCCCAACGTGCAACAGTTGACCCTGGAAAGTCAAAGGTCAATAGCAGCTCGGAAATTCAGCCTCACGACTCAAAGTCAACATGGACCCAGTCCAGGCCACCGATCAGACACACACACTAAGCAGTTTGCAGGTATCTGTCCAGATTCGAGTCCAAGTGGGAATCTACGACTGTATGGGATCCAGGCCATTGGCTGCGAGTCCATCCAGGCCATCGGAACTGAGAGACCGCAGGCTGCTCAGCGGAGTCAACACTATATGTTGACCCAGCCCCTGCTGACCGACGTTCAGTCTTGCGCTTGTTTCTTGACACTGGCTTGACGCTGGCTGGACACTGGCTAGACGCTAATTTGACGCTGACTTAACGCTGGCACTACGCTGATGCGACGACGAGAGACTGCTACTGCTTGGGTGCTGGCGCCTTCCCTGCCTATGGCGCCAGCTGGACACTCAATTATGCTGACGTGGCTCTCGCCGCACTGTCTACAACATTGATGGGATGCTGGCGAGGAGGAGGGGGATCAGGGCTGTGAGATTCGTTGGTCGTAAGGAAAGCTTACCTGTCTGTTTTTGTGTCGACAGTGCGCATTGCTGTTCGTCTTCAGAGGAGTCTGCACCATGTGCGCCATGATGAGATCTGTTCGTTGTCTGAGCATGTCAGAGGAGACTGTTTGCTGATGTGGCGAGCAGGGGATGCCCGAAGGAGGAGTGGGCTAGTGAGGGAAATCCATCTACTGAGCTGATGGGTGCTTTCTCTTCCACCCTCTAAGTCTCTTCTCCTTCCCATCTGCCTCTTCTCTGGTCACGAGACATTGGGCTACTTGATTATATGTATTATTTCCGAGACATTGAAACTGCGCTAAGACATTTTGTGTTCTGACATTGACAAGCTTTCCATCTGACTGGGTTCATTACAATTTGGCATCGGAGCGATCTCCTCCACTCCGCCATTATCTGCTGATGCACGCGGTATCGCACAGTGGTATCATAATCGCGCGTTTGATTGCGCGCTTTGCTTGCCTTGATATATCACGTTGTTGAACACGTGCGCGTTTTTCTATCGCGCACCTGACAGCTTCGCGCGTGAGACTTCCTACCACGCATGCATGTATCTGATGATGATGATGATGATATGATGACGACGTGGACCTGACAACGTTGGCGAGATATTGCTGACGTGGCGCTGGGCAACCAGCGAGATCGAGAGAGAGAGAGAGAGAGAGCTGCTGACGTGGGTTCAAGAGTTGCGCTGCCTACATGGCATGACGAGCAGGTGCTGACTTGGCACTTACCAAAGTGTCGTGACTTGCCTGCTGACGTGGCATCTCCGAAGAGGGAGCGACACACCAGGTTGAAGCGGCATATTGAAGTCGACGTTCCAGTGATCACATACGGATTGGGCAGTCTCTTGCTGCTTACGTGGCTACCAAGTACCTCCACTCTTGACAGCCTCACTCGCCATTGATGCTGGTGTTGCACCTCTCTTGATGATGTGTCACTTTGGCTTGATTGGAGTGTGACACGTGTCAGATATGACTTATGCAAGGAACCCGACTGTTCATCACTTGCTGGAGTGCATCAGATCACATGCATACACACAGATTTCACAGATTGCGAAGTCTCACACAAAACCCAATAGAAGATGAAATGAGGACCAGGAAGCTCAACTCAATTATCATAACCAGATTTAAGAGAGGAATTTCATGAGTCCAAAAATGTATAGCGCTGAACAGAGTTACAAATCTTCT